TGAAGCTGAGTCAAGGAGGTTGGCATCTTCTAGGCCAGTCACTTCCAAGATGGCATAAAATGACACATGATCACAGTGGGCCTTCTCAGTAAAAAAAAATAAATTAAAAAATCCATAATCTATCTGTATAGTATGACTTTGGGAACCAGAGGAAGTCCTATAACCCCATCTTTAATGTTGCACACTTTGTCTTGTGCTGGGAATTGCACCATTCAGTGCTTCCTTCCTCAGCACATCAGGAGATGCAGCCAGGACTCTGGAGACTCGGGGCTGGAGACCAGGAAGATGGTACTTAGTAATCTCAGCCAGTTTACAAAAGGGCCTGTCCTAACGACATTGCATATTAATATAAATACATCTTTTATGAGTGAGTGGAAGCAGCGTTGGAACTGGCACAGAGCTGAAATGGCTCAGGACCGATGGTAGCCGCTGTGGGACCTGAGGAACGTCACTGAGCTATCTTTCAGCATTAACGCGTGATTCTAGTTCCCAAATCCTTTCCTACGGCTAAAGGGATAAAGGGTGGGTGGATGCGGGCACCCAAGTGAGGAGAAGAAAGATTTCACAGAACAAGGGCGGGAGGGAGAATAGCAAAGACAGGGGAAGCAGACACAGAGGAGGACAAACCAGATGCCTGGCATCACCCTGTGTTAGGAGTGGGGAAGGGGACACTTAGGGTCAGGAGGAGTTAATATGAACTCATTTTCAGGTTGGGGGGTAGACCATGAGTCGCATCCACAAGTACCTGCTCGTAGGCACTAAGCGAGGTGTGGGGCACTCTGGGGACACCCGGTTCCAGTGGCATTTAGGCTCCAGCAGGGAGGACTCAGCCAGGCACTGAGCACTATGGGAACATAGCAGGGGAAGCTGAAGAAGGAGGAGAGCCTGGACGCTGCACTCTACATCAGAGGGCTCCGCCCGAAATTCATCCTGGGAAGGGGCCAGGGACCTGTGATCCCAGCCTCCAGTCACTGTTTCTAGAAGCTGGGGTAAGAGTTTTGAGATGTATAATGGGAAACAGATGAACAAGTATTCAGGTCCTTGAGACTGATGGGAGAGAGGGAGGCAGGGAGGGAGAGAAAGAATAAAAGGCCAAGGGAGAGAGAGGGGGCGCGGCAAGGCTTTCTCTATGACCAGTGGCCTTTCACAGAAGTTCTCCTGGAACTGAGCACCTCAAAGATGCCAGAGACTTCCAAGCAGCCCTGAAGGTGTGGTGGGAGTCTACTGGGTCCAGCACTGAGTTCCTTTCAAAAGACTTGAAAGTATCTCGAGGCTTCAGCAGAATTTGGCACTAAAAAGAACCAAGCACCCCTGCCACTGCCTAGGGCAGTGATGGCGAACCTATGACACGCGTGTCAGAGGTGACACACGAACTCATTTTTTTGGTTGATTTTTCTTAGTTAAATGGCATTTAAATATATAAAATAAATATCAAAAATATAAGTCTTTGTTTTACTATGGTTGCAAATATCAAAAAATTTCTGCCGAAACCAGTTTGGCTCAGTGGAAAAATTTCTCTCTCATCGATGTTTCTAACTCTCTATCTCTCTCCCTTCCTCTCTGTAAAAAATCAATAAAATATATTTAAAAAAATTCTATATGTGACATGACACCAGAGTTAAGTTAGGGTTTTTCAAAATGCTGACATCCGAGCTCAAAAGGTTCGCCATCACTGGCCTAGGGGATGATGCTATTTTATAATGAGGCAAAAGTTCTTTATAAGGTTAAGGGACACTTCTCCTGAAGACAAAGCATAGAGAAGACTTTAAGCTGTGTCCTGCTCTCCAGGAAATACCTGGAACCTTTTGATCTTGTCCCTCTCCCTGTGCCCCCACGGCCCAGAGGATCTGGGGAGTGAAGAGGTGGGGCTGGAATGGGAATTTGGGTGTCCAGCCTGGCACAACAAGGAGAGCCCAGCCATCGCCTTGCCCAACCTATTGCTTCAAGAGGCAGAGGGCCTCTGTCCACACTATTGTTGCCGCCAGTAACCCAGAGAAAATCTCCTGTATTAGTGATGAAGTCTTTCTTCTTTTTATTGAAGAGCAATCTTATCTTACTTAAGGACAGAATGTGTGTGCATGTTTGTGCACATGTGTGCACACACTAGTACCCCAGTATCAGCAACTGAAGGCCTAGCCCTCACTTCCCAATGGGAGCAGCCTGCAGCCACCTGGCAATCCTCTAAGGCAGTGGTTCTCAACCTTCCTAATGCCACGACCCTTTAATACAGTTCCTCATGTTGTGGTGACCCCCAACCATAAAATTATTTTCGTTGCTACTTCATAACTGTAATTTTGCTACTGTTATGAATCGTAATGTAAATATCTGATATGCAGGATGTATTTTCATTGTTAGAAATTGAACATAATTAAAGCATAGTGATTAATCACAAAAACAATATGTAATTATATATGTGTTTTCCGACGGTCTTAGGTGACCCCTGTGAAAGCATCGTGACCCACAGGTTGAGAACCGCTGCTCTAAGGGAAAAATGGTGTGGGTAGGAAGGGAAAGGGCGAGGAGGGCTGTCTGGCACAAGTGACTGTCTTCTCTTTCCTCCTGTTCCATGCTCATCCATGCAGTCCAGGAGCTGCCGAGAATGCCCATGCTAGCTCTGCTCAGCCTCATAGGACGGTAAGGCTCCCTGACATAGCCGATTTTCCATTAGCTCACCTGGGTGCCCAAATACATTTCTGTACTCTTCCACAAACTCGTCAAGCACATGTAAGATATTTTCATTGGAATCTGACTTAAAATCACACGGGGTAAAAAGATACCCATATAGGGACTCGCTGACTCCCATGTCCCCCAGCCACCCTGCCCCCCAACATATCCAGGACACAAACACACTTTCTCCAGAGCCACCTAGATGGGCCAGAGATAGAGCTTGAAGAGAACCTTGATAGGCTGGGATCCGGTCTTTCATTGAATGGGTATCCGTGTTTTGGATATGGCATTGAAGTCTGGTCATTTGTGTCCGTTCCCCCCCTCCCCCCGCAAGTGATTAGGTTGACCCAAGGCCATGTTTCCACGTGGCTTGAATCTAACCATTTGAGGGAAGCGGAGGAAGGCCTTTTCAATGTAAAGAGAACGGATGTCCACCACCACCTGGTTACATCCCTGGTTTTGACCCTCCACCCACAACAGCTTCCCTCTTTTTGAGACAAGAAAGATACATCTAAATGCAGGATGTTGCAGTTGGGGGTCTCCCACAGGGAACCTGTCCACATTTGCATCATTTTAAGAGCAATCACCTCACTGGGAAGGGGCGGGGCTAAGAAGCTAACACCGGACAGAATGTGCGGAAATTGTCTGGGGTTCTTGACTCTGCCTCCTCTCCGCTGCAAACTGGGTGATCTCAGATCTCCTAACCTTACACATCTTTTGCCCTTAAAGTTTTGATCTCAGAGTTCAGGTAAATACAATGCAATGTCTAAAACCAAGACGTGTGTTTAAATCTTAGTCCTTCAGAGGCATAGACTCGGATGTTGAGATGAGTAGGATGTTGAGTTGAGATAAGAAGCTTCAGGTGGGACAAGGCTCTGGAAAAGGAAAAGGACGCGCTGACCTGGGAAGACGGCGCCTCAGTGCGCTATAGGGAGAACCGCGCCATCGCGCCACCGGCTGCACTTAACTCTGCGGGGTGGAAGCTGAGCTTGGCTTTTACCAGGAATTGCCCCGACCTTGAAAGTGTTTCTTTGTTACTCTTAAACGGAGGGATTCTTGTTACATCGCAGTTTGTGATAAAGTGTGTCGTGGGGCAGAGTGCGTACGGCTGTTGTTTTTAAAGGTCGAGAAAGGAAAAAAAAAAATTCAAGGATGGTCCTGGTGGCCAGTCAGAAAGGTGAGAAACTTATGTTTACACTCTGCCCTTTAACGTCCCGCCTCCCTCCGGGCAGCTCCGGAGCAGACAATTCAATTAACTCCTTTTGTACCCAGTTTTATTGATCCGAACCCCTAGAATATCAATTTGCTTTCCGAAGAAACGTGCCCCACTGAGCTGCCTTGCGAAGCAACCCCTCCTGCGTTGCCAGTCATTTTCCGGGGCCGCGTAAGGGAGGCGAGGGGAGGCCAGCCCATAGGGGGCGTCGTTGGGGACGGATACCGCATCAGAGTCGGGCTTCTGTGCTGGCGACCCGAAGGCTCGCGCCTCTAGACCCCGCACGGCGTCTGGAACGCCTTGGGAGCGTTGCCTTCGAAACCTACTGGCACACACCGAGCCAACTTTACAAGAGTCCTGGAAAGGTTCGGAGATGAGTTAGAGCCCGGCTGGAGGCCGGCGCGCCCCGGATGTGGTGATGGCTAAATGCACCAACCCTGACACCCCGGGCTGCAGGCAGTTTCTGCGCCCACCCCCGAGGAGAAGCGAGTTCCGCGGGTCACCTGTTCCCGCCGCCTGGGCCGTCGGTGTCAGCGCGCATCCTTAGGCCTTTCTGTAGCTGTGCTGCTACCCCAGGCCTGGGGCAGAGTGGGGGGAGCGGGGGAGCTCTGCACAGAGCGCACGTGGGCAGGCAGCGGGCGCTGCAGGTGCCTTGGAGTGGTGCGCCCCGCAGGTACAAGCAACAGGAGAGGGCTGGGAGGAGCAGGAAGAGCCCCAGGCAACGTAGACCCCGCCTCTTCTCCACCTCAGGAGCTCCCAACCCAAAGAGAGCCTTGCGGCCCGCGCCGCCGGCCGGGCCCCCTGCCCCCCTCCCCGTCGGCTCGGTGATTGGCTGGCGCCGCGGGTCCCTGGCACGCGCCTGTGGATGTAGTTATAAGAATCCTCGCGTGCCGGCCCTCAGCTGCAGCAAGTTGGCCGCAGCCCTCCCCAGCGCAGCGCCGGTGCGGCCAGAGCGCAGGGGCCTCGGGCACTCCAGGGCGGCCGGGGGCGGGGGGCTGTGGGGCCGTTCCCACTGCCTCTCGCTCAAGAACCCGGGGGACAGGCAGGGGACTGCCAGACAGGCCAAAACTGCAACCTGAAACTCCTAGAGTCCTCCCTCGGGCCCACGGCGGCGCAGAGCATGGACGCGGTGCTGCTTGAGCACTTCCCTGGGGGCCTGGACGCCTTCCCGTCTCCTTACTTTGACGAGGAGGACTTCTTCACAGACCAGTCCTCTCGGGACCCTCTGGAGGATGGCGAGGAGCTGCTGGGGGACGAGCAGACGGAGGTGGAGTTCCTCAGCCACCAGCTGCACGAATACTACTACCGCGACGGGGCGTGCCTGCTGCTGCAGCCCGCGCCCTCGG